TGTCTAAGAGTTCAGCTGATAAAGAGTCTTCCAGGTTGAATTTTCAATTAAGCTTCGTCACTGAGAAAAGGATTAAACTGCTGCTCTGAGAGTTCTGTCTGATTTGTTTTTGATGCAGAGCAGAGTGTAAAGAACGGTATAATCCTCTGATGCTAAAAGAAGGAGCTAGTAATGGTTTTTGCATGGAGTTGTGGTTTGGAAGTTTTTGAAAATCAAGAGTGAAGATTTACAGAAACCAGAAGTAAAACCCTTAGTTTGAGAACAGGAAATAAAGAAGACATTTTATTTGTTACCTTTTACCCAGAACTCTTCCTGCATCATATTGAATAAGCTAAAACTTTTTTATCTAAATTTACCAGACTTTCTGATATCCTTTAAGTAACACCTTTATGGTCCTTTTTTCCTAAATAAGGCTTATCTAATTTGTAAAGCAAAAAGCCTTAGAAGGATGGTTAATATAAAATGTGATTTTTGTAGATTTAGCATATCTTTTAGTGTAATCATAATTCAGTAAAAAAAATATTCTGTTCCAGTTATGAGTAAAGCTAAATATTACTGCCTGCAGTGGTTAAACAAAATGTACTGAGACCATAAAGACTTTCATCTGTGCTTTCAGTCTCTCATCTTTACAACATCCATAAAAATTAGGACACACGCCTCAGTAGATGGCCCTGCTTTGTTAGTTTGTCACCCAGAGCATGTTAGAGGAGTTTCCTTTTATATAACCAAATGTAATCCTGAGGTTCCTTCTAAGTCTTCTATAATGCCTACAGCACAGAAACAAAGTGAGATGCTTCCTTAAAGTTTCTACTGTAGCTCTTCTTTCCCTACGATATTTTAGTTGCCATTAAAGATAAATTCATGTCATATTCTTTTAAAGGAAAAGTCCGATCATATTCAGAATACAAACTTCTCAAAGTACTTTAACTATGAAATTATTACATAAGTGTTTTTAATTAAGCATAATTTCATTTTAATGTGCTTTACCGGAGACATCCAGGTTTGTCAAAGAACTCTACTGCCACCTACTGGTTTGTGACGTCACAGTGCGGTATCGGCTGTTGATCAAGTCCCAGTGCTGTATCTGGTGTTTGTCACAATGCGCTATTATCCCTGATGGTGAGGACCAGTGCACTATGAGAAGCAGAGAGTAAGTCAGAAGTTTGAATACAAACCCTCCCTCTTCAAGTTGGCACTCCAACAACAAACCCGTGGAGAATCATGAATCGGAAAGGTGAAATAACAAATAGTTTTTTCACTTTTAACCGATGTATTGCATCATCCAACTGCCATGCACCTGGGCATTGTCAGTTCATAGAGCTCACAAATTTTAATGGTGAAGTCCTCTGGAAATCTTCAATAATTATTGTTGCTGATTGCAGATGTGTCCAGTAGTTCCCATGATTCTGCTTGTAAAGCGGGGAGAATGGCGCTAGGCTTACCGCACCGTGACGTCACTGCTGGAAGATGGCAGGAGGGAGGTGTTACTATATATGTGCAAAAATTGCCGCTCCCAGACTCAGTGATCGCAACAATTTTGTTTTTATTCTTTTTTACAGATTAACGCTAAATTCGTTCGTAAATGTTTTAGTTATAAATAATGATCCATTGTTTTTTCTTGCTGCCAGACTTTTCCTTTAATAAAGAACATCTATAATGTGACAGGTGCGTAAAAAAAAAAAACTGTCAGCTTGCAAGAGAAAACATTTATTTGGAATGTTTCGATGCTAGACCTTTATCAGGCCTAATGAATTGAAAATAGAATCTAAACAAATGAAAATATTGTATTTCAAAAATAAATAATTGGGGAAAAAAGTATAGAAAACGAGCAAAATTACTTTGAAAACCTTTTCTTTTGTTAAGAATTTTTTTTCAATCTCCATTTAAAAAACATGTTCTTTTCTTTAAAAATAATGGAAGAAAAATTAATTCCGTACTAAAACCCTCTCCACTTGGTTTGCAAATATTGTACATTTAAAATAACAAAAATATAACTGTACTTTTAAGCAATAACCTTAGTGTTTTTATAGTGTTTTTGTTTGCATTTATAATGCTTAGCAATGCTTATTATATCACACCCTATAAACAATGGGGTTGGCCTGATAGTGGATATGAAGAACTGCAAAACCGCATAAACAAGGCAATAAGGATAAATATCATCTTTATATTGTAATTGCTGTTGTAAATAGAGTAAAATTTTTATTGATTTATTTTATCCACAATTCACATCATCTCATGGCACTTTAGATGGAAATCCGATCATACAGTCAGATTATTTGAAAGTTTTCTACCAAAGGGAACCCGGCTGATTGCATCCAGCCAATGGCTGTGCAGGATGAACAAGCATAGAGTGACAGTGAGGAGGAAAAACTCCTTTTTAATAGGAAGAAATCTCCAAGAGAATCAGGCTCATTGTGAGGAGCCTTTTGTTGAAGCTGACTGGGGTTCAAGCAATGTTGTTTTTATCAAGGATTAAGATGACAAAATCATTTCGTTGAAGCTCCTTTTTTCATGATTATAATGAGCTCATGATGAGCTAAACGTGGATCTTTGATGACTAAAACATGACTAGTCGTATGTTTGAGTTTTAGTCAATGAGATAAGACTAAATAACAAATAGCGGGTCGTTGGTCAGATGTTTAAACTGCATCATCGTGCTGTAATCAGCTAAGCAGTATCAGCCATGCAGCTGTGTCTTCATTGACCCTGCCGCCCACCAGGTGCACAGCACTACGCATGCAGCAGGAGCACAGATGGATCATGGTAGCAGCTGCGGCAGGGTCTGAGAAAATAACCCAATGTACCTCTCCACTCTGACAAACTGCTCTGATCTTCCAGCTGTGCTTGTGCAGAAATGCGTCTTTGCGCACGGAGCTCCGAATCTGCGCTTCACGCTCTATTCTGATGGTTTGCTCTCAGCAGTATGGCTCTTCCTGCTCTCGCTACTTAATAAACTATGTGGCTGATCATCCTCTGCCAAGCGTAAAAAAATCCCTTTACTATCACTATTTTATTTCTTCCAGCTCACAAGAGGTGATACTAAACATTCTTTAAGGAATCCCTAAATTATATCCAAATAAAATATTTCATTGCATTCTGTTTATTTTTGGCAAAGACCCAGATGAAAAGGTACATAGATCTTTAAATATTTCTCTCTCTTATTGTCCTTGTTTCTATCTGTTTAAATATGATATAAATGTTTCCTTGTTTTGAGATTAAAACATTTCCTATGTTTCCTTTGAATATTTTAGTTAACATATTAATTCAATTTAGGTCTGGATTGCCATGGTATTACAAGGCAGTCATGTAGCTTCTGTCTGTATTTTTTTTATTATATCAAAAGCCTGCGAATTTAAATCTAGTTTGACCCCTAAGCAGTGGTAACTGAGTGTCATGATCGGTTTAACAAATCTGACCCACATGCAGAGAAACCACTCAGAGAACACAAAGAAAAGTTCAACAGGTCTATTTGTTGTAGTGAGAACTGGCGTTGAGTCTGGAACTCAGTGAACTGGTAAACCGGAACTGGAAGTCAGAGGGGAAGATCTCAGAGATCAGTTCAGGGACCGTGGGAATTTGTTAAATTTATGCAAGAGAGGGACTCACGTTTGAGGGGGCTCTTGTCAATCCTTGAATCTAGTCTGTGTGGGATTATCCAGAGAAGAGGGAACACGTTGGACCCGGAGGAGTAATGGAGTGGACTGTCACTTGGATTTCCGATGGGAACTTGAACGGATCATGTGGAGGTTTTCCCCTGCTCAGTGTGAACTCTGTTTTTCCTTCCAAGGTGAGAAGGTCCAGGTATCCAGTTGTACAGGAAGGCTTCCTGCCAAAGAACAAAGACAAAAACAACATAAGTCTCAGAGAAACAAAACTCAGGTTAGATTCTGCTAATCTCAGCTTGACTAGAGTACCCAAAAATGGCAAACCGTCTGGCGTTAAGGTAGTGGCAGTCCACTGCTCCAATACTCCTCCAGATAATGATCCAATGAGCCGCAGGTGTGCAGGGAGGCCCAACGAAGACAGGGCACCTCCTGGTGGTGGAGAGAAGGAAACACACAAACAGACCACACAAACTGGATTCCTAAATTCTCCGAAATAAAGTTAAAACTGCCAAAGTAAAAAGAAGAATGTTTTTGTTCTTTTTTGGAGTAATGAAGATTTTATTGATCTGGTTCTAATGCATAATTCATAGTAGATCAGGATATGTTGCTTTGGGATGGAAACCTTGTATGTCTAAACCAATTCCTTTGTTGTACATTTTGTTAGCTTGTCTGTCGGCTATTTTAAAAAATATAATGTGTTGATCTAGATCTGCTATTTTCACAGCTTGTGCAAGACACTTTTTTGTAAAGAAGTGGATTAATTAATAAAAAAGTTAATTTGAATTCTATAAATCAAAGTTTTCTGCCTAACAGCAATGATGAACTGCACAGCAGCATTCTATACCCAGCTATTGTAATATCTAGGCTAGAGCTGTCAGTCTGGTAAAGAATCTAGTTGTTATTCGAAATTGTAAAGGTTCCCTGTTTTTTGCAACATGAAACTGACTAAAACTGACTAAAACCTTTTTAAGTTTTAGTCGACTAAAATCGACTAAAACTATCACATATTGTAATGACTAAAATGTTACTAAGACTAATAATAGTTTTCGTCCTGAAGACTAAGAGTAAATCTAATATGGCTGTCAAAAACAACACTGGGTTCAAGGAGTGCTCTGCTCAAACCACCAAACCATACCTCTTCATGCAGCAAGTTTAAATTTAATATTTGCAGTTTGTCCTGCATCTGCTGTGCTAAAGTTTTCTCCTGCTTCACTGGCAAAATTCGGAAGATTAAAACTAGTTTGGTCTGCAAAGGGTTTACTTGGATTTAAACAAAGTATACATTTTTTTCTGCCATGTGTTATATGTTGGGTAGATATTAGTTCCTGTTGTATCGCCATTTTGGCCCATTCTCCTTTTCACTCCAGTCTCAACCCAATCTTTGTCCTCCTTCAGCCGAAGCCAGAGAACGCCGTGACTGTAGCCGTTTCTTCCCGGGTCTTGTTTCGGACCGAGCGGGAGCAGAGGGTGTTTGAGCAGAAAGGAGTGGAGGAATATCTGAGATACCAAATCGAGCACGAGAACGAGCCCTTCGCTCCGGGGCCCGCTTTCCCCTTTGTCAAGGTCAGATCTGCAAAGTTGGACAGATCTGCATGGATTTAGGCATTTTGATGTGAGTTTGGATTCTCTCTCAAACTGACCATTTTTTTCAACTCCCATCAGGCTCTGGAGACAGTAAACGCTCGTCTGAGGGACCTCTACCCCCAGAGTGAAGAGCTGTTTGACATCGTATTGGTGACGTACAACCACGCCCATGTTGGGATCCGGCTCATCAACACCATCAATCACCACAGTAAGTTCTGCAAAGATGGAGATGGAGATCCATAACCATTTCTTGGTTTGACAAAACGCTTCAGTACAATGACAACAACCATCACAGCACCTTTTAATCTATTGTTTTCCACCTAACGTCTTCCTTGTTAATAGTGTGTAACAGAAACTGGTTTTCCTTAGATAGAAACTTTGAGTCATTTTGATTGTATGATCTGTTGAATTTTAAATTGCCTTGAGATGACATGTGTTGTGAATTGGCGCTAACATCTAACCTGACTCCGCCAGATGGATTTGCGAAAATACTGGTTAGCTGATTGGCCTATGTTGGTGATAGATGGGCCAAATAAACCAATCAGATCAACGAAGCATATGACGTACTAACAGAGCGACGACGAAGAGGAGCCAATTGATAGATCAAACCCTTGCCGAAACCAGTCGGGAGAAGAGCAAAAACATCTTTTCCTCTGAGAAAAGCCTCCAGAGCAGTGTTTTGCTCTTCTTTCAGTGAAGAAATACTCTGTAATTCCGATAAAACTTGCTCGATAGCCACACTAACGCTAGTTTCATCGGCTGAAGCCGCCATGTGCTTTAGACTGAACTGTCGCGCTTCTCGTTGCTTCACACCTCAACCCGCCTCAAAGCCAACGCTGATTGGACGTTCGTTTGGTCAACGGCTCCAAATTTTCTTTAAAGGAAAGTAGCCAGACTGATCTGCAAGTAAAACCTTGAAAGCTCGCGAGATCAGGATGGTCTCACGAAGCTAGCTAACATCCACCTCATTTTGGGAAATGATTGCCTATTTTGCATGCCAAATTGGAAAAGCAAATAACTTAGTAACTGTAAGCCCAAATTAAATATGTGATACATTATGTGAATGCAAACCCCTTTAGCTTTCTGAATATATACATAAAAATTGGGTGAGTAAAACACAGCCCAAGCAGCATTAGTTCAAACATGACTCAAAGTTTTTTTGTCATTGTCGAAAATAATAGGTCGTTTTTGAACAGCAGTAATAAAGACATGCTTACTTGTTGTGGCTGCTTTATGTTTACATTTTGACATGCTGCTATATCTGTGTTAATTGTGCTTTGGTGCTTGCTATGTCAATAGAATGAACTTGTTGGTTGAATTGTTGTCGTTTCCAACGATGTCTAACACACTGCAACAATGTAAATCTAATTAAGTAATTTTTGTCTTAAAGTAAGTGCATTTTCTTTTAAATTGAGGGGGTAAGTGATACATTTTTCCAATGAAACGAGACAATTTAAACTTGAAATAACAAAAAAGAACTGCATTGTCTTATGTCAAGTACATATGATCTAATTAACTTATTCTAAGAGTAAAAATACTCATTCCATTGGCAAATCATCCTATTTTTCCGCTCAAATTAAGAGTAAATTCACTTAATTTAATACATTTTCACTTATTTCTAGACCGTTTTTGCAGTGCATGTCTATATTGGTAAATATTTTACCAGTGTAATTTTCATGCATTCTGTGTTATTAGTTGCAAACACACTAAACAGGGGTCGCCAGCGACCCCGGTGGGTTTTGAGAAGATAAACTGAATTGAATTGAGTTGAAAATTAAAAATTTGCAGGAATATGAGGTGCCCACATTTTTAAATGTAAGTAGAAATTGTAAATACATCTAAGATAAGTAACTGTTCCTTGTTAACAAATTAAAAGATACACGTGACATTAGATCTTAATCTGTGAAAATAGGAGCTGCAGTTCAACTTTGCAAAGATACAATTAAAAATCACAAACCTACAACTACAATTCACAAATACAAATTTATGAATATGAGTCGCTAATTTAGAAGACATTACAATTTCACAAGTACAAACAAAAAATGTACTACAAGATATGATTTGTACTTGAACATTTTTATTTAATACTCAACTTTGTGGTTTCTACTCAGAAAATTCGCACCCATGAAAATGTAATTGGTAATTATAATGTTGAAACATTCTAACCTTGTAACTTTGTATTTTCACAGAAGATCTGATTCCACATGTTGTATATTTGATGTGATAAGTCGACACAAATACAGATCCTATTTATTTATGCTTTTGACTTTCATTTACAAACCATACATCTAAAAATATGTTTCTATTGTAAATGTGAATCCATTTATTGTCCCACAATGGGGGAATTTCACGTCTGCATTTTTTGGTAATATAACTATTGACAGTTATATTACCAAATGCAGGAACCTCCTTGCACATGGAGCCTGTTTTGCTTTAAATATAAAATAATTTTGTTTAACTAATAAGTTATCAAAGCACAAGTTAAGGAATAAATTCCCCATTTTACAGTTTCCTCTGACTTGAGGATAAAAGATGAGCAAAAAAAAGGCTGCTTTTGTCAGTAGGGACCATTGGTCCAAAGCCAGGTGAAGTTTACGGATGTATTTTGGAGAAATGGAGAAACTTGTGAACTCCGTAGAGCGTGTTACGCTGTGAGACACCAGGAAGATAACAGGAAGTGCTGTCACATTGGGAGTATGGAAAGGGCCACAAAGCAGGTTAGCACACAGGAGGCAATAGATCAGAAATAACAAACACATTCTTTTTGCCAAGAAAGGCTGAAAAGTGGAGGGGCCGAAAGCCAACAAATACAAAAACGAGAGCAGGAAAATAAATCTTCAAAGCAATAAAGCCATCACCTGTAGGAGCAGGATACTGACATAATTAAACAGCAGTTCTGAGCATTTTTAATTAGCTTAAATGTGTGCTAATGGTGTGAAAAGTCACTGACTTTGCAGAAAAGTAAAAACTCTACTTTAACAGCAAGAAATGTCGAGCAGAACCAGACTCAGTGTGAACAGCCATCTGCATCCGCACACAAAGAGCCCTGAGGCAGAAATACTTTCTATGTGCGAGAAAACTAAGACTGTTAGTGGTAATGCTTCTTGCATTAATGACACATTGGGTAAATCCCTCACACCCATGCAGTGTCACTCCCAACTCATCACATAAGTGATGCTTGATCAAGTTCCCTGTGCGTCAGTATCTGACCTTATTAACTGACACAGATGGTTCATGACAGGTTATAGCACCAAGCACCATAGAGAGCGTTCTGACCAGCTGTCTCACTGTGTGGTGTGGAGGCTGCAGCGCCTCAGACTGGAAGAATGTGAGGAGAGTGGTGAGAACAGCAGAGAAGATCATCGTGGCTCCTCTTCCCTCCATTAAAGACATTTCATCCCAGCACTGCGTGTCCCGAGCCCGTAACATCATCAATGACACCTCACACCCCCACCATGGACTGTTCTCCCTGCTGCCCTCTGGGAAGAGGCTCCACAGCATCCGATGCAGGTCCAGCAGATTCTGCAACAGCTTCTTCCCCACCGTTCTCAGGCAGCTGTTAAAAAAACCTCTAAATCATGTCACAGACTCTGCATCACACTGATAATACCAAACTAAAAATACTGCATATTTGCAACATATCTCTTAATGCTCTGAACTTCCATATCAATGCATTTTTGCACGTCTTTTCTCCAACATTGTTTACATTTGATCACTGTTGCAATGGAAATGTTCAGAAAGCTGTACAAAACGAAACATTTTGTAAACACTCTGTGTACAGAATGACAATAAAAGTTGTCTAAGTCTACTGTAGGTCTATAGCAGGAACTTCCTAAAATATTTCCATGAGCTGCAAATTAAAAATGTATCACTAAACCATCCCTTACCCTAAACCCTAAACTTACAGAAACACTAGTATACATGTTACCATAAACTCCTAAAGGCTGATTGATAGTCAGAAAAATGGTCGTCTGTGTGTTGCTGTG